TGAAGGCACAAAAAGGAAAGAAATGCCCACAAATCAGGTTTATGAAGGGAAGGAGGTTCAAGCCTACGCCTGTTTGTTAGCTGGGGCTTTCTGGTACACTGGGGCAGATACAGTCCACATGCTGCTAGTTGTCCCACAGTTTGCAATTGGCCAAAGCACAGAATACAGAAGTTGTTTTTGCAAACACGGATCTTACAGCCCCTCTCTTGCCTCATGATAAACAGAAGCAGTTGCAGCATGTTCCACCCACAGCCTCCATCAGAGCTGCTGAGGGGTGGAAAGAGAGGGAGGACTTCAAGTCCTACTCCCCAACCACAAACATCCCTCATAATGTGCTATTGCTTCATCTGCGTGGAAGTAGCAATCAGAAGGAGCAAAATAAACAAAGTAGTATGTTACGGCTATCAATATTACTAAGATCTTAGGTCTGGTATTCTATTAAAGATAGATTTAAAGTAGCTTTTTAACAGCCAGTTTGTTACTTAAGACTTTTAAATATTTAAAGCACTACACAGTTGTCCTTAAAATGGCAAGTGTCTCCTGACAAAAGTCATACTGATCAGCCTACCCACTGGTAGTTTAGGGTTTCCCAAATGACTATGCTCCTGCATATTGGGCTGCTGATGGGCTAAGGTACTTGTGCTGGGGACAGAGAAAAATGACATTGTGAGTGGGTGGTTGTAATTGTCATGGTGCTGCATGTGCAATCACTGTCCAATGGAGGTCATGATGGGGATCCCTGAGTTCCTTCTGGATGGGGTCCCACCAGTCATTCTCTCCCTTAACAGCAGTTCTTCTAGCATGGAAAGTGAAAAGCAGCGTAAGTAAGGCTGTGAGAAAGCATTACAGGTGTAAAACACAGCATTAATTGAATCTTGACACTCTGAGGGTCTTAGGAAGAGTAGCTGGCAATGCTGCTGGCTTCTGCAGTACTGTATCTGGATATGATTTCACTGGCCCTGCAGTGTTGGTGGAGGATTGCGATTCACTGCCTGTTAAGTTATTTATGCACTGAACACTCTGTGAGTTTTTGGGCCAAAATACAAGTTCATTAAAACTGTTAGACATCTTCTTTGCTCATACTCCTGACAGACCTTTGGCATACACAGAAATCCCAATTTCAGACTCCTTGTCAGAGTGATGAATCCATTCTGTTTGCGTTCACTAGGTTTTTGGCTATTGAGTACATTCTTTTCAGATTCTCAATCTGATATTCTGTCAGCACAGTTGTAACACATGCAGCAGTTTCATTGCTTCCAAGCTCACTTAGCATCCCTGATCATCTTTCTTTGTAAATGTTTGTGAAACCAGATTTACATACTAAAGTATGTACATCTTATGGTTTAGAAGGTAGGAATGCTCATGTGAAATGCAGGCTATATTAAATGTCACTGATACAACCTGTCTGGTATGTAAAGAGCAGTTCTTTTAGTTGTTCTTAAATCTTTGTTCTTGAAAAGATAGAAGGGGATTAAAAAAAAAAATCATTAAGTCCACTTTGCCCAGTAGCATGTGACGTTGTTACTTAATTGTCTGAAAATACTCTAATGTTTGAATCCAATTTACTTGTAAATAGGAAGACATGGGAAAGAAATGATTTCAAATGGAACAGAACAGCATTCTGGTGCTCTGGAGATAGCAGGTTGCCTCTTGTTAATTAAAGCTAATCTATAGGACAACATTGTTTTTCAAAAAAGTTTTACTGTATTTTTCTTTTCTACATTAGACCAGAATCTGGCAGCTGAGACTGTTTAATTAACATTTACAATTCTAGTTGTTGAAATATATTATTTTTTCAATCAAGTCTGAACTCATTATTTATAAAGATCACATATGCTTCCTACCATTAATAAAGGTTCCACTTTGGTGTACAATAGCCCTTATTGTATTTCACATTAAACTGTTTTTTAGGATCTCTAAGTATGTTGGTTTTGTTCTTTGATTTGGATTTGTCATCTCATGGTGCCTTTTAAATTGGATCCAGCTATTAGTAAAATGTACTCATCTGCCCTGAGGCTAGTCTCCTATTCTGCAGACCAAGAGCTGAGTACGACTCTAGTTTTCTCTTCTATTTTCTATTCTCACCTCTTCTTATATTCTCTCTTAAGGTCATGGCTTAGATTATTTGCTTTCTAAATCTGATTTGTAGACCTCAGAAGTAAAATATTTATTTTTTGCTTGCATATGTATGATTGAGAATATAAGCAAGCTAGATTATTACAGTATAATATAAAGATTTCTGTGAGGGTATTTGTTTTTAGGTATGCCTGATTATTTGTGTGAAGCTCAAGTGAGTAATGCAGATTAGACAAAGCAAGTTATCACCTGGGTCAGAAGATAAAAATTATCACTCTAATGTACAAATATAGTTCCACAGATACATAACTGGGAGCTTTTCTTTTGAAAGTGGAGGGATATACTTGATGCCTGACGTGAGTTTACTCCATCAGCTTCAAGCACCATTTACCAGAAGATTGTGGCCCAGAATGTTACAACAAAAGATTGTCTTAGAGCTAGATTATCAGTGAATTTTATGTAAGTATTTATTTTATTTGAAATGTTATGTAGAGTTTACTATATCTGAACATTATCGTTTTGGCTTCAAAACATTTTGCACTGCACTGTCAAAATGCAGGTGTTATCTGAGTTGCACATAATACTGTGTGATAATGTGTGCTTTTCTTGAAGTGAAATTAAAAGCTAGTGTAAGACTCCTGGAGGTGGTCCTAACCTGGGCACTTTGTGCTATCTGGCAGTAGCAGCCCTTCAGGGTGTTTTGCCTAGAGATAGCCAGTACGTAAATCTTGATGCAGTTATTTTTGTAGAAACATGTGAGTGAGTTTTCAGATGTCAAACCTGAGAAAGTGATTTGTCTGAGTGTCTTCCTGGCATTGAGCTGAAGCTCAAAAACGCGCAGTTGAGATGTGGAGTGACTTACAAACCTCAGAGGAGATTTGAAGGAATGAAAGAGTCGGGGGGGTTGCATTAGGGATCAGAGGTGCAACCAGGCCCCTCCTCAGCAGAGCAGTTCTGAGCCTGAAGCCTAGGCCAGGGAAGCTAGCAGCATTTCCAGCTTTGGCAGATGGTGCTTTCAGCTGCCAGACAGCAGGAGCATTGGAGAGGTGGCAGGTGCTGCTGTGGTTCTGCTGAAGGCAGTGCATGCTACCAGCAGCAGTGGGAAGGGTGGCTGTGAATCACTTCTGAAGTTGAGTTGGTCCCATGTAGCCAGCCAGAATGACATATGGTGTGCATGTCTGCACCATGCAGGAGAGAACAGAGAAATCACAGAGAGGAAATTTGGAGAAGACTGATGAATTCTTATTTTCACCACTGTATATTGGCTTCCGAAAGGAAAGGAAGAGCCAAGACGAGCTTACACAGGATGTGGTATGGGTTAGCTCAGCCCTACCACAATAATTTCTTTCAGAATTTCCTTCTGACACTGGTTTGGGCCTGCTCACGTGACACATACATTACACTGCAAAGCTGAGGGGCTCAGCTTACTTCTGCTCTGAGCAATGGATGAGACATCAGGACCCAAAATTATTTTTTTCCATCCTCCTCTTATACGAATAAAATTGTCATGTGTGTGTTATGAGCCTAAGGACATGGACTATAAAAGAAAAAATGGTTCTTTATAGTACTCATGTCCAAGAAGAGACTGCATTTGCTGTGTTACGCAGCAGCCTATGTGCCATGTAGTCCGTACCTGGCCCCAGCCACCCTCCAGGTCTCCTTGGCAATGCCATGCCCTCCTGCACACTGAGTAGTCTTGGTGCTGCCACGCTGCTCCCCAAAATGCACCACAGGCCAGCTGTACTGCTGATTGCTTTTGTTGGCCCATCAGCAGCAGCTGGTGCTCCTGCAGTGTGCGGCACCATGGCAGCACTGGGGCTTTTTGGGAAGCAGGAGGTAAACATGTAATTTGAGGATAACAGACATGCTGCTCCTGCCCGAGCTGGCAGCTGTGCAGCATGGCAGAGTGGGGGTTGTGCCAGGATTTGTAATGACCTTGAGAAAAATAGAAAGAAAAGTGTGCTGTCCCAAATCTCACTCAAGAAATCAATGTTTTCCTTTCAAACTCTTTCAAAGGAGCTTTATTGCTAGTAGTAGGAACCCAAGGAATGATTAAGGAAAAGACACAGCTTCATTTTTCCGTCTTTTGCAAAGTGGTGGGAATTCAAGTAATCAGGCAATGGCAGAAATGTATGGCAGACCTTCTCTAAGTGAGGTTGTAGAAGCATGTGAGCACATTCACACTTGTAGCATTGTTCTGATCTCTATGCAGATATTGTGGTTCTATCCAGGAAAAACAGTGTTGAGAACTGATTTCTGCACTGTGCAAGCCAGGTGCCTGAGCTGTTTTTGAAATTTAGACACAAGGTCCTCTGACTTTGTCCCGTAGGACAAAGGGGAAAAAACACTAAGACTACTTACATTTTACTCTTATTATAAATGCTGACTATAAGAACAAAGGCTGAAACAAGAGGAGCAGGAGAATGGTGGGTTTTTTTTTGTTTTTGTTTGTTTGTTGTTTTGTTTTGTTTTTAATTTATTTTTATCCTTTGGGCTTAGTGCTGAGTAATAGAGTAAAAGCCTTCAGACTGATTAGTGCACACAGCTGAGGAAGCCATGCAAGATAATGCTTGTGCTGCAGGAGTCATAAAGGATAGAAATTTAAAATAGCAAAAAGTATGTGCTTTTCAAAGGCATGTTCATAAACATAAGTTTATTTCAGTTGTGATTTCCTTGAAAACTTTAATACTCTTCATTACAATATGTTAATAACTGGTGTTCCTCTGTGTGGTAGAACAGCCTAGCTTTTTGAGTGCAGACAGATTTGTAAACAGAAGAAGATGCTCCAAGTTGGTGCTTGAATACAGATTGGTTCATTAATTTAGAATTAGAGGTATATCTTTGGGTCTTCTGGGGTTCCAAATCCCAGAAAGACACAGATAAAATTTCTCTTTTTTTTTTTTTTTTTTCCCCTCTTTCCATAGGTTCGTCATCGGTGGTGTGAACTTGTTGTTAAACACAAATATGTGTCTGGATATGGAGATATTGAGAAATTTCTCAGAGAAGATCAGGTCAGTTTGATTTAATCAGCATTTTCAAAATAACGACCTTTCACACCTTCTTGAAACCAGTAGTGTGAAACTAAAAGCTTGTTTTATTGCAACTACTTGCTGCAGTTGAAATGCAGAATAAGTATTCAGGTTTTGCCCTTTCCTTAAGCTCTATAATTTAAGGAATCTACCTAGGTGGTGATCAGCCCCACTAAGGCATGCTGATCTTACAGTAGCTGGTAAAATATGGTATATTCTCTCCCACTGCTTCCATTATGCAAGCCAGAGGAAAAAGTGATGCTAGGAAAATGCTTCTCAGCATTGGCTGGATTTGTAGGGTGGCAAAGGCAAGTATAGTTGTGAATATTAGCCTAAGTAGGGATGGCTTAAGTGCAAAACAGTGACTAAAGTTTCCAAGACAATGTACAGATGGAGAAGCATAGTACTGTTAACATTATTCCAGAGAATGAAGGCATCTGCACAGTTAATGAGATAGTTTTGAAGGTTTTAAGAGGCCAGCCATGCAAAATGTCTTTACTGTGGCTATTAACATAAGCTATCTTACACTTGTAACTGTACTTCTGCCTTGTTTCTTTGGTTTCACTTCCATTTATTTTTATTCACTATGAACTCAATAAAATCAAGACCTTCACTGCCTAGGATGATGGATATATTTTACATATCAACAAAAAAAACAGTCCCAAGACTTCTTGGCAAGTTTTCTATTTAAAGAACAAAACAAAAACAGTGTACCCCCCCAGGATATAACAACATCATTTATGACAATGAGGAGTTATATATTAATTGTGCTATTAAGCATATTTTAATGATATGGAAGAATGATATGCACCAGCAGAAAGGAGGAAAAAAATCAAGTTCACACAAACAAGCATTGATTTGCTTTATGTTTAGAACAAATATGGTTATAAATAAGTACAAATGTTTTCTGCAGTGCAGGGAAAGAATTTTTGCAACATTTTTTTTCATGTAATCTTCAACATCTTTCATTGAATTTATTCCAACAGTAGAAACAGTTTATGACACAACCAGGTTCTGGAATCATTCCAGCTCAAATCAGATTGTGTATCCTTACTGATCATGAGAAACTTGGAAATATTTTATTTTTTAAGTCTGGGAAAAATGCAAATGTGGCTATTGAATTCTCTCCAGGATTACAAAAGCTCAGTATGTTTGTTGCATTTTAACATTAAGGTTTAGAGAAAAAATATTAATACTGGGTAGAAAAGCTAATTTCTATTTGGAACAAAATTCCATCATTTTGACGTTCACCATAAAAGCAGCTCCAAGGCAGTGTGATCTCCAGCTGCAGATCCTGGAAATCTGAGGTTTGGGTCTCAGGATGCAGGACAGTGTGGTTAGGGCACTGTCACATCATCTGGCAGACTTATGTCTGACTGAGACTGCTCCCTTTGATTTCAGTCAGTGTTAAATTATAAATTTCGCTGTTGAAGCTTAACTTTTAATCTCACCAGTCAATCTTAGAAATTGTGAGAAACAGTATTACTGTGTTTTTCAATATGATTCCTCCTTTTTCTTTCTTGCAACTGTCCAAGCATTAAGTAAAACTAATTGGTAGAATCTAATGTGCTATGCTGCTAAAGTTTTCATATAATCCAGTTTTAATACGTTTTGATAACAGCTTAATACTTACAGAATTCTCATAATTTGATTAAAACCTTCTGTCTTCAGAAGAGAGAGAGGGGAAAAAAAAAAAAAAAAGGCATTGCTCATTGTGTCTCCCATGAAATTAGCCAGTGCTTTGCTACCTGCTATCAAAGGGACCCACATCTTACTCCCACATGCTCGGCTATCTGCTTTTGTTCTGGATAAGCAGTAAGAGACACAATCCTGACAGAAGGTCCAACCATATCTCAGATGTAAAGAGAAAAGTCTGAAACACAGACCTGGCCACACACTGTTGATTTCTGGAGTGGGTGTTCTAGCTGATGTGCTCTTTATTAGTGTATGTGGAAACATCTCAGTTGGAAAGAAAATGTGTATCCTGTTGAAGGAAGGACAAGCTGGTTTCCTAGGGGACATTTGGAAATATTTCAGGTAGTGGATAAAAGAAAACAGATTTCAACTTCAAAAGCAGCAAGAAAAATGGGGTGAGATAGCACTTTCTTGTCATTACATTTCTTAAATTAATATTCTTTTTTTCACGCTCAGCACAACACATAGGCAATCTTAGGCCATAGAGAGCCAGAGAAAAACTGCATTCTAGGGAAAGTTATGCTATAGAGTATAAGGCCTTTTCTGTGGTGTTTTTGAATTAAATGAGTATTCAGAGGCCAACAAAATGAAAACCATCCAACTAGTCATAACAGGATGACTGTATGTTATGTTCTTCTTTCAGGCAATGGGTGTGTATCTCTATGGAGAATTAATGGTGAATGAAGATGCCAAACAACAAGAACTTGCATACAAATGCTTTGCTGCAGCACAAGAACAAATGGATAAGTCGTCAGCTGAAGTGGTGGCAGAGATGTTATTTTGAAGAGGTTAGTTTTCTTTTTAAATTAAACATGTTGATCTGCCTCCTAAAGGAAGAATATGCAGAGCTTGCTGAACATAGTAAACCTTGGCATACCACAGAACTTGTGGCTGCTTAGCTCAAGAGGAAACTCTTGTTTAAATATCTTCTTTTTATTATTACTTTTTTTTTTTATTATTTTTTTTTTTTATTTTAAGCTCAGCTGCTGGAGTGTGAGTTAGATGTATAGGCACTTGCTGGAGAGCATGGAAGTGCTTTGCTGTAAACTTTGTGCTGGACTGTATGAAGGGCAGTTGTAAGTCAGAATGGCCAGGAAAGGCCAGGTTCCTACAATTGTTTTCTATTCTGTATTCTTAACTCTGTCTACAGCATACTGTATGAGAAGCATTTCTGTTTAACAAAGCACATGCTGATTGTACAGGTAGCACAGTCTTTGAAAAGAATCTGAGCTCAAAATGGAAGTTCTGATCTTCAAACCAAATCTGAATCATGTGAGAACAATTTGTTAATTCAACTATGTAAAGTGTAATCAGATGTTTGGAGACTGGTGATAAGATAAGAAAGATAAGAGTAGCCTTAACATAAAGATGCTGGTTAATGTCATACAGAATCTAATTTGTTTCTGAAATTAATGGAGAAAATTCACTAAAGAAGCAAAATTGCAAGAAATATTCACAAAATAAAGATTGCTGTAGAAGGAGGTTATAAATTGTTATTTGCAAAGACACTCAGCATCTGTCAGTCTATTTGAATTGCTTTGCGGTGTTTGTACACGTGTTAAACACGAAGCCAAATAGGATTAGTGTGAATATCTCTTCCAGTATACCTCACATTTTTCTTCATGATACAGCTCATCTGACAGACTGATTGCCTTGACTTTGGTTTCAAAATAAAGACTTCTAATTTAGCAAAATCATTTTTTTCTAATTGGTACTTAGTAGGAATCTTGATTACTTCTTTTCTCCCATTCAAGCCTGTACATGTGGCATTACTTGAATGTAAGTTCCACTTGAATTTGTGGCATTTATTTTTGTGCAGTACAGCAGATGCCATGAATACAAGTTTGTTTATAAACAGTTCTGGACATGTCTGTCTATATATGTTCTGTATAGACAAGCAGTATGTCTGTCAGAAAACATTTATGGGAAATGTGGTGAAGACTGAAAAGTGCAAGGGTAGCAGTTATGGGAAGGAGTTTGCCTTCTAAATAAATAGACCTAAGGGACTTGCTTACATGGTCTCCCAGTTTCCAGGCACCACAATAATTTGAGTTACATACAAATTTTACAATCTGGTAGATGCCAGGAATAGGAAGATGCAGTTTGTTCCGGTACTACAACACTTGGCACCATCTTTCATTATTTCCTTAAATAATGACATAAACATTTCTACAACTTCTGGTGGTAAGTATCTGTCTAGCACAGGAATATTATGTATAATCTATGCACAATAGTCTAGAATTGCTGTTTGACTTTTTAGACAGATTAGAAATGCATGGTGAGCTATAAAATAAAAGCTAAAGTATCACTAGGAATGTGTCTGTGTGACTGCACAGCCTTCTTTTAATGTTGTGGCTGTTTGGGTTCCTGGCATGATGATTTGTGAGTTAAGATTAAAATCACATTGCCAGGGATTACCACATAGCCATGACTGCAGCTGCTACTCTGAAAATGACTATAACTATCTGATAACATGTACACTGTGGCATCCTTCTCCATCCATTAAACAAAAAAGAGGAAAGGAGCAGACGCACCATGGAAGAACCTCATCTGATAATTAGTGGTACTGAGACGGAGACCTCTCTGGCGAGGTGCAGAGCTTAGCTGATTGGTGAACAGTGATTGTTTCCCTCTTTGTTCACAGTGGCTAAGTTCTGCACCTGAAGAGAAGGTGAGATGAGGATGTTTCTTAAGTGCCAGCCTGCACAGGGTGAGAGCATTCGCTGCTTGACAGGCAGCTTTGCAATTAGTGCTGGTGTGCCAAATACATTGTGGAGTGGCTAAGAGGCAGAGACAGTTGGAAAGGACCAAAGACATTCTTTTTAGCTGAAAATAAACGGCACTCTTTCTGTCTGACTGCAAAAACAGGGTATTTCCTACAGTAACGTGGTTACAGAGCTTTTCTAAAGGTCAGAGGAAATTAGTGTTTGTGATGTTAAACTGGAATTGTCTGTAAAGCTTTGTTTTGTAGGCTCTTCTTCAATGGATGCTCCTGTGTTTTCTCTGCAGCTGTAGCTTAGCACTGTGTATTGTTTGCAGGAAATGCTTGTTTCCGACTGGAGCTGCCACTTACGGCAGGTGTCCCGAGCGTGGATGGACCCGTCCTCCGGTGCCTACTGAGCTGATATCAGTTCTGATTTTACATACTGGCTCAGTTCAGCAGGAACAGGAGTCGAGCCCTAAAGCAGGAAAAAAAAAAAAAAAAAAAAAAGTGCCTTTTCTAAGAGCCTTTGAAAAATGGAAAAATGTTGTTGCTGTTTTCTCTATAAAATCAAGTTAGTATACATTACGCTGTCCCGACGTTAAACACCGTACTCTTAAGGTGGAAAAGCTACCTCAGTACTGTTTAGAGAACTGTTGGCTTGTGACAAGAGGTATGTGGATATGTATAATATTGCATAGCATTGCCCTGGTAACACCTCTAGCATTATTTTCAGAGTAACCTGCTAATAACTGGGGGAATTGCTTGTTCTTTGGCTCTCCTGTGTCTTCTCCAAACATTGTTGTGGTAGCTCTAAGGAGATCTCCCTTCCCAGTACTCAGACTTCTATCACAGAAGATATAACGGGAAACACTGCATTTAAAATACAAATTCAGCTTTGTTAATGTTGTAACCACTGTTATGCTCTACTGGTAACCTAAAAAAAAATAACATTTGAAAATAAGGAATACAGAGATACTGCTTTTTGGTGACAGGGTAATAACTTTTACTGCTCTTTCCGTTACAGGAAAGATCACAGAGAAATTCATTTAATCTATCTCCTACTAAACCTCGGTGGTGCTAGGATTTCCTTGACCCAAGACATCAAAAGAAGGATTAAGTGACTGCTAAAACAATCAGCTGACAGAAACATTTACCTTTCAGTATTTGTTTTCCAGAGGCTCACTGTAACCAAGAACAGGTAAAAATGCAGAGATACAAACTGGCTTTACACACACACACACACACACACACCACACACACACACAATCTATTGTGGCTCTAGGTAGTCCTTACAATACAATTTGACAGGAATTGATGAAACTTTATTCTGTACTTAAGATTTTGTTTTAACTTCTATGCCAAGGTATATAAGATTAGCTGGATGGTAGAGTGGGGAGATTAATTAGAAGATGGAATAGTTTCTGGAAGGTGTCCAGCCATTGATATGGTGACAGGATGGAACTGAAGGAGAGATTAAAATTTTGTTCCTGTCTTGGTTAGGTTAACTTCTACCAGAAGTGTACATCTCAAATTCTGGAAATGTCTTCTACAGCCCTGTTCTACTCCTTTTTTTTTCACTCTGTACACTGTTGTTTTAAATCCAATTCTTGTAACAATAAATATGTTTTTCAAATATGTGTAGTTTCTTCATTGAATAGTAGTTCAAAGTTAGTTTATAAAACTAAGAAGAAAAAAAACCAAAACATTTCCAATTCCACAGTAAGACAGAAGAAGCCGAAAAGGGGTTAACAGATATTAACAAGAAAAATTACACTGGAAAAGTCCAGTGCGTGCAGTTTCTTAAAAGCCTACCTCCCTGGTGACATGAGCCCAAGGAGTCCCATTTCTCTATACTTCGCTCTACTTCCTGAGATCCCATCTACAGGTACAGTGTCGTCACCTGAATTACAGATCAGTCAGCACCTTCTGCATGTAGGAGTTGGGAAGTTTACCAAATGCCTGCTGATATACTGCAATGACTTGTAATGCAGTTACACTTACAAATGTATTAAGGGATCCCACCTTTTTATGAATGCTTTGTTTCACTAGATTTTTCTGCAGAGGTCAGCAAAAAAAAGTCAGCATGCTTTTTGATTTCTTTTGCTGCATCATGGAAAGAACCCAAAGCTGAATGAGGCTTTTACATAAGACACCAAAATTAAGTATTGTTCTTAGCTTTGAAAGCTACCTGGCATATGAGATGTTCCATACTTAGCAAATATCACCAAATATCTGTAAAAACAGTTACTTTTCCTGCCTTTTTTTTTCATTTGCTCACTGAGGACAGCTTCCTACAGCTGTTGCAGTCTGTTTAAGCAGTATAAACAAGAGCATGCCTTTGAACATTAGTGGCCCTCACACAGCTTTGTCCTTCATTGTGAAAATGCAACAGCAAATAAAAAGCCTAACACCACATAACCTAAAAAATGGCAGAGAGAACAACCCTCACTCTGCAGCTGGGGCTATATGGTCACTTGTTGCTAATCCAAGCACTGCTGAACTGAGTGAGGCTTTGGATTAAGAAGTTAGAGTGGCTTCACATGGTTCATTTCTTGCTATTGGTGCCAGTAACTGAGACTGTTGTATCTACAAAAGGGTGGCTTCATTAGCCTGATGGAAGCAGTAGCATTAGTTGCAAATATTTGTCAATTACGTAAAAAGCTCCTGGAGTGAAACACACAAAATTTATTTGGGTAAATTCTAATAGAGTCTGGTGAAATTCTATCAGAAAAAACTAAATGCAGAAACTTTTGTACTGTTTAATTTTCTCAAAATTCTCTCAACTTGGCCTGTATCTGTATTAATTTCCTTAGAGGATGGTGTTGTGGATACTGATTAGTTTTGTAGTAAATAAAAGTAAAGAAAAAAAAAAATCCAAATTTATTATAACTTACTAAAATCGTCACTTGAAGTGATATCTTACCAGGTTGTACATCTATCCAGGTCTGACTATCAGGTGTGTGATCACCATTTTGCTTTTTAAACACTCTTTTTGTTAGTAGAGTCCGGCAGATGGGGAACACGGCAGAAATGTTGTGGCTTCATTGAGTCTTTTTGGAGGTGAACGCTGTCTTTTAGAGCAGCAAACATTGCACGGGCAGTCATGTAGGTGTGTTCTTGCTCTACTTGTTTGCGTTTCATCCTGTTCTGTTTCACAGCCAATCCAGTCTGAATCACATAAAGCATTTCCCCCTCCATCACTCCCAGTTTAGTCCTTTCCATACTGATGGCTTTGCCCTGGGTACCACTAGAGGTCCTCATGCAAAAAGCTGGACTGTGTCCCACGTATTGCACCTGGGCAGCAGATGGTTAGGATCTAACCGATTCTAGCATTTAACTGTAAGAATTGAATTTCAGATTAAGCTAAAACTGTGCCTGTCTGTGAAGCTAGGCAAGGAGCACCATCTGTTTTTCTGAGGGTCTCTTGCTTAGAGGAAAGCAGCCTATAATGAGTCTGTGAGCAAGATAGCTCGTGCCCCCAGATGAGACGCATTCCTGATCATATGCTTTCTGTTACAAACACAGCTTAAAGCATACCAATTTGATGACAGCAGTTCCTCTGCTGTGTTTTGTCTTCAGCTTTGCTGGGATGTACTTGCAGCTGCTCCAGCTCTGTGCTTTCTCCTTTAAGGGGGAATTAAGTGTACCAGTTTGCACGTTCCTTTCACATAATGGGAGGAAGCAGATCTGGTCTGGAGACAACACAGTGTTGCCTGAGTGAGAATGTTGAGTCTGGGGCATGAGGAGCCAGTGTGGATTTCTGCCAGCGATGACGTGACATGGCAGAGGGGCTGTGGTGGACAGCTCAGCCTTGGTGGCACTGTAGCTACAGCTGGGAGATGGGCAAACAGAAACACTCTTTGCTAATAGGAGAGATTTTAAAGCAGAGTTTTTCTGTCCACAAGTATGTGTGTACAGCTGAAAACAAAGGATGCTTTGCAAAGACACAGCAAACTGTGTTTTGCTACACAAAAGGATGAAGGGCTTCAGGAGGCTGGAAACCGCAGCTCGGTTAACACAAAGAATAACGGGATGTTAAGCTGTATGAAAAAGGGTACTACAAAAAAAATAAATAAATTCTATGCCATCATAATATATAATGCAGCCAGACAGCTTATGTCTTCACAGCTGCTGGAGATCTTGCTAGTGAGCATTAAATCAGTTCTGTTACGGAAGATTTTAGTAATTGTGTTTAAACGTTTAAATATATGGAAGGAAACCAGGGCATCTTAGCATAAACTAGCAGTCACGTTACTGAGCAGCTATTTGTTGTTTCCTTTTTCTGGTAGAGTATTAATTATTCTGTAGAAAATACCTCTTCTCTCCTGCACACTGGGCTTCACTTTGGAAGTGGCTGTACTCCATTCAGCTTTCCTGCTTCTTTTTCCACTAGCCATGTCCCCACGTCTTCTTCCCTCCACAGTGCAGTGCCTACTACCACTGCAGTTTGGCACCCCAAATGCACCGTCATCACAGTTCAATCTGGGTATCAGGAGTAGGTTCTTCACCAGAGGACAGTGGGCATGGCTCCCAGCTGCCAGAGTTCAAGGATTATTTGGACGATGCTCTCAGACATAGGCTTTGAGTATTCCATGATTCTGTGATTCCCCGTTGTTCTGTGCAGAAGTTGTTCTCAAGACAATTCCTTCCACAAGGAGCTTGAGGAGTATTAGGAAGTGTCCAGGGAGGCCACACTGCGCTGGGCTGGGGACCCTTACCTGCTGTGGGGCAGTCCAGGCCTTGTGCTGTGGCTTCTCTGCTGCCTGGTGTTGCAGCCTAGCTTTGTGTTCAGTGTCCTTGCTCCTATGAGCCATGCATATGGTTTTAAAGTCAGGAATAGCTGTGTGTGAATTATTTGGAAGCATTCAGATCTTAACATCTGTGACTTAATGGTATTTTCCCCTGAGCAAAGCACTCCTTTAATGTAATAATGTGGTTCTGCAATAGGACTGCCATTTGACATAAATCCATACACAGAACACAAAATGTTACTCTTTAATTCACTGCAAACCTGATTCTGGAACACTGAATCTCAGTATCTAAAAGCATATTAAATCAACGATGTTTTTTTAAACAAATTCAAAATAACCACCAGTGTGGCACTGAAGTTCCCAGTATCCATGAGATTTTTTGTCCCATATGAGAGGCAAAGTTTCAGCATATACGTGTGTTGGTTAAAAGCAGTTACATTTTTGGCCCCAATCTTAGATGCCCAGACCAGTGCTCCAGAAAATGAATTTACTGCAGAAAGGATAAGGAAGTGAACAGAAAAGGAGCCTCTTGAATCTCACCATAAGTCTACCAGGGTTAGGCACATAGCAGTACTGGGGTGCACATAGAAGTGGCCCTTTGTTTTGGTGATCACTTCATAATGGAATAATTATTTAAGGAAGTTCTCTTGCTGGTAGGCTGAGATTTTATACCAGTGAAAGTTGCCAGTTCAGAAGGAAATTGAGATGTCTGCCCAGTGTCTGGGAAATAAAATGGACTTATCCATGTACTGTGGCTAAAACTGACTGTGTATTGCTACACAACAGTAAGTCCCAATTTCTTTCTACCTGTAGCTGCCAGAAGAACTGGCATTTGCCATATCTGTTATTTAAAGGCATCAGCTACTGAATCATAGAATCATAGAATCACAGAATCATAGAATGGCCTGGGTTGAAAAGGACCATAATGATCATACAGCTTCAACTCCCCAGTTGTGTACAGAGTCGCTACCCACCAGACCAGGCTGCCCAAAGCCACATCCAGCCTGGCCTTGAATGCCTCCAGGGATGGGGCATCCATAACCTCCTTGGGCAACCTGTTCCAATGTGACACCACCCTCTGTGTGAAAAACTACCTCCTAATATCTAACCTAAACCTCCCCTGTCTTAGTTTAAGACTATTCCCCCTTGTCCTGTCACTATCCTTGTAAACAGTCATTCCCTTCAAGTACTGGAAGGCCACAGTGAGGTCTCTCCGGAGCCTTCTCTTGTCCAAGCTAAACAAGCCCAGTTCCCTCAACCTTTCCTCATAGGAGAAGTGCTCCAGCCCTCTGATCATCTTAATGGCCCTCCTCTGGACCCGCTTCAAGAGCTCTGCATCTTCCTTGCATCCTGGACGCAATACTCCAAATGGGTCCTCACTAGAGCTGAGGTTCACTGAAGCTGTGTGACAATATGGCCTGTCCTGATCACTTATGATTTAGAAAGCGAAACCTCATTCTTGGCTCAGCACAGTTTTGTGTTTGCCCACTGCCCAGTCAGGACTGCTTTATGCCTTTGCTGACCACCCTGAGTGGCCCTGCTGTCTCCCACACACTGCCAGGCATCAAGGAAGCCTCCAGCTCTGTAGCTGTCATGGTTGCTGAAAAAATGTCACTTGTCTCATGTCTGGGCTTACTGAGAGAAGCACTTCAGTGCAGAAGTGTGCTCTAGGCAGCCTCACTCTCAAGCTTCCACCTGCTCTGCCATGAGCCTTGCACCAGGCAGCATGGCTCTCACTGCTGGCCATATGCAGTGTTCTGAAAGGACAGTGATCAGGAAAAGTGCCTTTTTTTGGTGTTTTTTTGTTTGTTTGTTTGTTTGTTTGTTTGTTTGTTTGCTTGGTTGTTTGGTTGGGTTTTTTCTTTTTTTTTTTCTCTTTGTT